ATCTTCATCTATAACATGTTCAGCAAGGCTACATGATTTTAAATTTCTTCTACAATCACTTTTATGTGAAGTGATTCTGTCTTTTAACATTCTACAAGTTTGACCAATATAAACTAGATTACAATTATTGCAGGGAATTTCATAAATAATATTCGATCTATTCTTGACTGGTACAGGAGTTTTCAATTTGTAATCTAGTTTATATTGGTCAAACTTGTAGAATGTTGAAAGACAGAATCACTTCACATAAAAGTGATTGTAGAAGAAATTTAAAATCATGTAGCCTTGCTGAACATGTTATAGATGAAGATCATATAATGAATTATGATAATGCCAAAATTCTGGATTATGAAAAACATCTCAACAAACGCCTCTTTCTTGAAATGGTACATATTAATGAAAATGATAAAACGATGAACAAAAGAACAGACATCAACGATCTTAGTACCATTTATACATTCCTTCTAAAGAAACAAAAAGATAATAAATCAACTCGTCCTCCTTGAATGATTCATGTTTTATATATAATCTACAAACATTTTTTTTATATATCAGTATTTTTATATATATATCAGTATTCATCTCACTCTGTATTCAACATCTTCAAATGAGTCAACCATCATCTATGACATTTTTTTGTCAAATCATTTCATTTTTATTTATACACCTATGTTTCCTTTTTGTGCTAATTTTATATAGAATTTCATGTTTGTAAGTATACCAATTTCATTTGATGTACATTTATATTCTAATATTATTGTTCCATTCGATGTTTTCAGTTAGTCTTGATAAAGAAAATAAAAATTTTCGAAAGCTCGACAAATAACGAAGAAATCTAATTAATTCATTGGTCCAGACTGCATCCCACTAATATTTCCAAGAATATTATTATAGGACAGTCACGAAAGCTTCCCCTTGTTAAATATAATTAGTTATATAATGTGATACAAAATCATGATAGGGTAGGGACACATTGTAAAATTAGTAATATGTGATAAGGTACTGATTTCGTATTACAACTCGAAACTAGCACTAATTTCAAGTTGTTATACGAAATTTAAATTCGAAATTATTTCGTATGAAAATACGAAATCAGTGCAAGTTTCGTGTTACAACACGAAATAAGTGCTAATTTTGAGTGGTTACTCGAAATTAAAATAACTGCTGATTCAAACTGCTAACACGAAATTCGTACTCGAAATTAGTGATAATTCCGTGTTACAGCTCGAAATGACTTCAATATTCGTGTTAAAACACGAAATTAGTGCCCATTTTGAGTGGTTACAGAAAATGAAAACTCGAAATTAGTGATTATTTCGTGTTACAACTCGAAATTAGTACAAATTTCTTGTTACAACACGGAATTAGTACTGATTTTTAGTGCTAACACGAAATTTAATCTCGAAATTAGTGATTATTCCGTGTTACAACTTGAAATTAGTTCAAATATCCTGTTACAACACAAGATAAGTGCTAATTTCGAGTGTTAACACAATATTTGAACTCGAAATTAGTGTTTATTTCGAGTTAAAACTTGAAATTAGTTCAAATTTCGTATTACAACATGAACCCAGACAGCACCAGATATTCCATGAATCTCCCTATCATATTCCTTTTGGAATATTGGAATATTCTAGAAATAATCTGGAATATTCCGGAATATCTGTGGAATATTCTCTAAATATGCGAATGGGAATTCCTCAGATAATCATAGAATATACCCAAAAGAATATTCTATGTTTAATGTTCCTGGAATATTCCAATAAACATATTCTAAAATTAAAAAAAGTGACCCAAGTAGGGATCGAACTCGTGACCTCAAGACTATCAGAGCAACGCCTTAACCACTAGGCCAGTAATCGAATTGAATAATGTTATACATATCAAGTTCTTGTGAGAGCATTGTTCGAAATCGGATCATAAACACTTTTTGTTTCAAAATCCCCTTACATATAATTGATGTTCGATACTCATATGTCTGAAATAATTAATGGTATTTATGTGTTGAGAAACAAAGGAATATTCATGGAATATTCCATGAATATTCACCACCGAATATTCAGTTGAGAATATTTCATGAATATACCGCACAGAATATTCAGTTGGGTATATTTCATGAATATACCGCACAGAATATTCAGTTGGGTATATTTCATGAATATACAACAGAGAATATTCAGTTGGGAATATTCCTGGAAGATTCGTACCTGAATATTCCCTGAACATGTCCGATTATTCACTTTGGAATATTCCTTTTAGATGTTCCAATGGCATGTATATATTCTAGGAATAATCGATGAATATTCGGAATATACTCCTCCTTTTTAGCATATTTAGAGAATATTCTATGAATATCCAGTGCTGTCTGGGAAATTACTGCGAATTTTGTGTTACAGCACGAAATAAGTGCAAATTTTGTGTTACAACACGAAATAAGTGATAATTTTGAGAAGTTACACGAAATCAAAACTCGAAATTAGTGATTATTTCGTGTCTCAACTCGAAATTAGTAAAAATTTCTTGTTACAACTCGAAATTAGAGCCGATTTTGAGTGCTAACACAAAATTAGAACTCGAAATTAGTGTTTATTCCGTGTTAAAACTCGAAATTATCGCAAATTCCGTGTTACAACACGAAATTGAAGCTAGTTTTGAGTGGTTAGACAAAATTGAAACGCGAAATTAGTGTTTATTTTGTGTTACAACTCGAAATTAGTTCAAATATCCTGTGATAACCGGAAATTTGGGCAAATTTTCAGTGGTAACACAAAATTTGAACTCGAAATTAGTGTTTATTTCATGTTGAAACTCGAAATTAGTTGAAATTTTGCGTTACAACACAGAATTAATTCAAATTTGGTTTAACAACATGAAATTAGTGCTATTTTCTTGTATCAACTAGAAATTGTTGCCAAAAACATCGCGTGTCCGTACTGCGCTTTCGTTGTGATCAATAACAAAAACTAACGAACAATATGTTTATTTGTCCATAGAAATAGAGAAGTTACACCGAAAAATTATGATACGCACAATTTCAATACGAGACAAAAAAATAACTTGCGGATACCCTTTGCCAGATTGAATATTACCAGTTCATCGCCAAACTTTATTGGGCCAAGATTATTCAACAAATTACCTGAATCAATAAAAAACTGTGAAAAGGAAACAGAATTCAAAAAACAAATCAAAATATTTTTAGTTGGCAAAGTTTTTTATACTGTGAACGAGTTTTTGTGTACGTAATATTCCTATTTGTCATATACACTCATTAGTTTGTAAGTTTTCTATTTTTTTTTCTTTTTTAGTTCGTGAGTTTCATAGTTTCTTAGTATCTTTGACTATTCCTATACAATGTATGTTGTCAGTTATGGAAAATAAATGATTGATTGATTGATTGAATAAAAGAGAAAAAGCGTCAGTACGGCCGCCACACCGAAGGATCGTTCTGCGACTGCGTCACCCTCTCCACAACGTCCTCCACCCTCAAGGACTATTCCTCCACCCTCAAGGGATGCTTACTCGAACTCTGCACCACATCCACCCTCTGCGGGGGCGAAGCCAGCGCAACCGAGGCGTGCAAATGAAAATTGATCTAGCTCTGGTTCTATGTGGAATACAATGAGGGGTAAACCACCACTGCTGATTGGACTGACCATACGAGGGATGGTATTAGTAGTTGTTGTTCGAAATATAATTCCAATTTTCAGAGCATACTATGTTTTTTTTTCATGTTTAAAATTGCAAAATATCATCAGTGGCGATTTAAAAAAACTTGACTTCACCTCTGGATTCAGCATCCTTGAATCAGATTAATCGCTAGATTTCATTGAAAAATGTTGGTTGGCATTTTTCATAATTTATTACCTCTTTTCATGAATATTTCTGAGGAACGACAACACTGTCAACACTGATTTAGGAAATCATCGTGATATCTGGTAGACTTCTGAATCCATAAGATAAATTTGAAAAAAACAAATAAAAATTAGGTGATTCCGAAGAAAATATTTTTTTCTCAAATCGCATATCACTGCAAAATACGAGGGCGATTACACCTCCAGCTAGTCACACTGTATATCTGAAAAAGGTTGATTCTCTGCAGTCTTTGTTCGATCATTTTCGAATCGAATCACAAAAACTATGTACAAAAAAATAAATCTACGAAAGCCTAGCGAACAGACATGCGATTTTTTCCTTAATTAAGAGTTAACGAATCAATTATGATTTGGTATTAAAACTGAAAATGAGGTGATTTCGAGTTGTTACACGAAATCAGTACGAATTTCGTTTTAGGAATCGAAATTAGTAGGTACTGATTCAGCTAATTATTTAATAAGTTAGGTATTTAATTGTATCACGAAATTGAGAAAAGGAATCAAATCATTAGTGTTACAACTCAAAATTAGCATCCTTTCGTGTTAAAACTTAGAAAACGCTGATTTCGAGTTGTTATACAAGATCAGTGCGAATTTCGTGTTAGAAATCGAAATAATTACTGATTTAGTGTACCAAGTCGGAAATAATTTCGTGTAACAACATTGAATGAGCTAATTTCGAGTTGTAACACAGAATTGATTCCGTGTTAGCAATCGAAATTAGTACTGATTCAGCTAGTTATTTGAATAATTATAATATCTAAGTATCAGGAAATTGAGGTAAGGTTCCCAATAATAGTACTAATCTAGTTTTACAACTCGAAATCAACGTAATTTCACTCAGAATCAAAAAGGATATTGGAGATTTTTTAGCCTTTTTCACAGTTCCGAAGTTGGAGAAAGATTGAACCTTCATATGGAAGGCAGGAAATATTTGCAGCAACGATCTGGGTATTGAAAGATAATAAAATTGGTAAACATTCAACTTATTGGTTGAAATAACGAGGACCTCAACATATGGCGCCCGAGCAGGGACCAAATGTAATTCGCGTAAATTTGAGAAAAAAACATATCGCATGACCGTTCTCGGCTTCCATAGGAACCAATAAATAAAACTAACGAGTAATAAAAGAAGAAAAGCGTCAGTAAGGTCGCCACACCGAAGGATCATTCTGTGACTGCCCCACCCTTTCCTCCACCTCTTCTATCCTCAAGGGATGCTCCTCCACCCTCAAGATCTGCTCGCTGGCACTCTGCACCACATCCACCCTCTGCTGGGGCGAAGGCAGCGCGTCCGAGGCGTGCAAATGGAAATGAATCTGGCTCTGATTCACCGTGGAATACAACGAGGGGTAAACCACCACCGGATGGGGGGCGGTCGACTGGTACTGCTGGTGGGACTGTCCGTACGAGGGGTGGTAGTAGTTGTTGTTGGTGGGGGGGTAGGCACCGCCCCAGCCGTTTGGGGGGTACGCTTGGTCTGGGGGGTAGCGCGAGGCGAGCAGGTCCAGGTCGGAGGGTTTGGCGCCAGGGGGGTAGGTGTGTGGAGGGGGTGGGGGGGAGGTCAGGGAGGTGGTGATGTACTCGTTCGAGCTGGCATCGGGAAGAACTGGAAACGAAAAAAAAATCTTCTGAAGTAGTTCATACTCGATGTGGAGTGGTATGATCAAGAAAATAAAACTCGAAGTGCTCTCTACAGGTTTAATGGTGAATAGATGCAGTCAATCCTGCTTTGATATAGGGTTTGACACATGTTTCGGCCATTCAAATTGCCATCCTCAGACAAAGAACACCACAGGGCATATGGAATTTAGAATATCGTGAAGACGAAAATAAACTGGTAAACATTGATAACGTCGTGGTCCTAAATATAGCCTGAATTCGAAATAAAATAACTCACGAATTTCATTAGCAATTTGAAATAGGTTTCCACCGTTGATTAGCCTAATCTCTTGACAGTTTGTTGTGGCAATACGAAACTTCTGTAATTTCAGATAACATTGCTACAGGGTGATAATTGAATGGGTGTAAAATTGCATCGTGATCGTCACCTTACCGTTTGAACAGATAATTTTTTTTATCTCTTCTCACCTTTATCCTCTTGATTGATGCTTTCTGTCGAAACGTTTTCGGAATTTTCAATTTCAGAGCTTTGATAATCATTTTTTCAAGGATTAATTGAATAAAATTGAGAGTTGGAATTCTTTTCCGAAGAATCCACGTTGTATGTATAGTCGTCGGATATGTGATTGTGTTCGAACACAGAAAATTCTGAAGAAGTCTATACAAAGTTATACAAGAAATACTGAAAGATGAAATGGAGAATAACGTAGTCTCCAGTAGATGAAACATAATTTTCTTCGTGTTACTAGTGAAATAATGGAGTGTTACTTCGTCATGAGGATGTCTGGTGTCTGATCTCGAAATGGTTTAGGAATTTCTCGGATGAAAGGTCATATAATGAAGGTACGCATTTTAATCAAAATGGTGCATTTTCGTTAAGATATATTATAAAATTTAAAAAAATACGTTTATCTGATGGCATGTCATAATGACAACGTTATGTCACTCAATTTTGATGACATAAGGAAGCTCATTATGGGACTAAGTACCATAATGAATTCATTATGGTACTAAGTACCATAATGAAATTCTATAAGGAAAACATGTAATGGTTTGATCAAAAAAGTTTATTCAAAATGCATAACTATGTACAAAACTATTTATTATAAATGGTAAAAGAACAATTACTACAATTTGTAATATTAATATAATGGCAAAGCACAGCTCACTCACCTACTAATATTTGAAACTACACAATACTTACTCCTTTAAAAATAGTTGTCATTGTGACATGTCGAAAATGCAGTTTTTAATTTTTCGAAAATGTATTGATATAAATGCCATCAGATAAAATTTTGTATGTAATACGAATCATAAACAATCATTATGGCACACGCCGTGTTATCGGACTCGGCTACGCCTCGCCCGATAACATTCACGACTTGTACCATAATGATCGTCTTTATGATCCTTATTACATAAATAACTATTGTAGTACCAGAAGTTTGAAATTTATATTTATTTTTGACGATGGAAATACAAAGTGCGATAAAAAATATAGCCAGATTGTCCCGGGATGAAGAAGAATATGTTTAAACATGATGAAAATCGCTATGTTCCGAAAAAGAAATATAGTGTCGGTCATTGTCGAAACTTTTCATGAGGCTTGTACGAGGAAATATGAAAGAGACTGCAGAATTTCCATAGATTCGATGAAATGTTTCCCATACTATAATGAAGATAAATATAGTGAGTCCTCATGAGGCTTGTACGAGGTAATCACATATCAGGCGACTATACATACAACGTTGATTCTTCAAAAAAGAATTCCAACTTACAATTTCATTCAATTACTCAATCGTCGAAAAAATGCATAATTTTGAATTAATATTCATAACACGATCATCAAAGTTCTGAAATTGAAAATTCAGAAAACATTCCGAGAGAAAGCATCAATCAAGAGGATACAGGTGAAAAAAAAAATCTCTTCAAACGGTAAGATGACGACCACAATGCAATTTTACACCCATTCAATTATCACCCTGTAGCAATGTTATCTGGAATTACAGAAGTTTCATATTGCCACAACAAACTGTCAAGAGATTAGGCTAATCATCGGTGAAAACTGATTTCAAATTGGTAAAGAAATTCGTGTGTTATTCTACTTTGAATTCAGGCTATATTTTGGACAACGACATTATCAATGTTGACCAGTTTAGTATCGTCAATCAAATCAATATAGTTATTTTTGTATCTAGAGCGCAAAACTCTACTTTGGTGGGTCGAGATGACCAAAGTATTTCGCGCTCGAGTTGCAAACAACATTTTTTCTACAAACGTCAAAAAATATAGTTCTAAAGTAAAAATATGCTCAGCTTGATATGAACAATAGTGTTAAACTGGCTTAAAGGGCCTCCCCCTATCCTCCCTAGGTACGCACGATGTTCCACGAATATAATAGGAATTTCCTTTCATGCGCTCCAAGAGATAAAACTAAGTTATTGTTGAACATTCAGAAATAAATGATTTCGTGGATGTTTGCTCGATTGAGGACATATCTCATATATTTTACATAACAATGCGCAAAGTAGGTTCTTCGCGCACTGTTTTACTTCGCGCATTGTTTTGTGCAAGGTATCATGGTAACGTAGGAAACTGAAAAAAAAGTGTCACTTCGCAATTTGTTATGAATGCGCGAACATTGTCATTTTTTGACGTTTGTAGAAAAACGTTATTTTCGTTGTTGCTTGCAACTATTTCGAGGGACTGAAGGACACACTTTAGACCCGAAAGTGCATCAACAATCTCAATTTTAAATATGAAAATTATAGACAAATTGGGTAGGACAGGGGTTTTCATAAGCAACTGTCAAATCCTGTTTATGTAGAAATTGATTTAATTTTCCAATTGATAAACTTCTTGAATTATTACTTCTTCACGAAATTTCTTGGAAATAGTATCGTCAATCAAATCAATAACTTCATTCTCGTTGTTGCTTGCAACTATTTCAAAGAACTAAAGGACACACTCTAGACCCCAAAGTGCACCGACAATCTAAATTTCAAACATAAAAATTATGGACAAATTAGGTAGAATCCTAATTAATAAGGTTATTTACCTGTAGGAAGGTGAATAGGCGTCATGTGCGTCGCATCTTGATGTGGATCATAATAATTGGCTTGGGCAGGACTATATGAAGGGTACGAATTCGTATATTCTGGCCAGGAACTCGAAGGGCAGTGTGTAGATCCATTAGGATTACCATCTGAAAAGAACAAGAAAATTATATGAAAGTTTCCATAATGGGAAGAGTTGTTCGTGAATTTCGACTATCACTCCATCACTACACCGATAAAAGTCCAGTTATACATGTCTCTATTTAAAAACTTATTATAACCGCGAAATGAAACATCTTAACCACGAAATGTCATCTGATGAACGTGAAAAGTTCACGTTTTCAACGTGAAACAGGTCACCCTTTCAAATCACTCTTCTTGTTTCAAAAAGGTTATCTTCTAGATTCGAAATGAGACAAGATTATAGTTAAAAGATGGAAATTTGAAGATAATCATTTAAATCCTGGAAGATGTCATTTCACAGTTATACAATTATCATTTAATTTCATTCCTACTATTATTTTCCATCTTTGTCATGCTCGTTTACCTCAATGAGTCATCTCACTCACTTATGAACACTTGTTCGATGAGAATCGTTAGTCGTCTCCGGATTCCTGATATGAAAGGACATATAAGCTCGCGGCAGCTCATGCAATCTTTTTGCAGAGTGATATTTTTTTCCGGAAAGTGAAGTGGTTGAGAGATCTTCTAGAAATATTGGGGACATATTTGTTCATATCCCCCAAGATTTGTTGAGGAACTATACAGAATGTTGAAATGCCTCTGGGCGTTATAGTGTTTTCACGATATATCGGTATGTGTATGTATCGGAATGTCTTCCAAATTGGAAAAACTTTTATTTTTTTCAACTCACCTCACTATTCACTAAGTGGCAAAAGCTTGAATTTGAACAGTTTTATCGGTGATAGATTGTATTGCGTATTCATTGTGTCCAAGATTAATGACTACTATCATGGGGATCTCGAAAACGTCGTAAGAAAAGTCTCTCAACGCTGACGATACTGTGTAATTACATTTTTGGCCACTATGTTGACTATTAATCCAATGCACTGACAATGAGAACAAATAGTCCAAATTGCAAGCATTTTTGTCCTACACAAACTAAGATATTGTAAACTGAATATATCGTCCTTGTGATGAACTTCAATGCCCTGTAGTTCCTCAAAAAAACTTCACTTGGGGGTAAGTATATAAACCAAGTATATATGTCTTCAATATTTCAACCCAATTCATTTTTCTGGAGAGAAATTAATAATCCTAATACTGAAATACCATGCAATCATTTGACTATGAAATTAGAAGCAAATTATAATTAGTATTATTTCATTTTTATAATATCACTATTCAATATTGAAATGCTTTTTATTCGACTATCAAATTGAAAACAAGTCAAATTTATATGAGTATCTTCTCATTTTTATAATATCATCGTATAGCATTGAAATGCTAGTCGTTTGACCCATATGAGTGTCATTTCATTCTCATATAAGTGATATTTCACAGTTATATAATTTTTTTAAAACGATGAACGTGATAACAGTGAAATGGGAACTATGCTGGCGTCTATTCAATTCAGAAATCTTTTAATGGTTATACAATTTCGTATAACAGCTCATAGATATTTCTCTCGGTGTAGCAATACCCAGTCAGAGGAGCTCGACAAGCCCAGTCCGCATATCCTTTTGTCGTCAACTTCGAGATATGTCGAACAACTCTTTACCAGAACTCGATTCATTACGCACGATATCCCTCGAAAATAATGGGGAATCCCTCTTATGCGCTCCATAAGATAATTACGATTTCATGCTGAAATCGAAAAAGGCATTAGTCACTGTGATAAAGTTCTCCCATTTTTCTGAAAATCAGATCAACTTCTGTATTTCGAATGCGTAGGTATAAAATGTGTGCGATTTGGTATGAATCTTCCTTATATGATTGGAATACCTTGACTGAACTGATTCTCTTTTTTTAAATATTGTTCAATCCTCAGAAATATTCTTGCATCTATCTTTTCTTTTGGAAAAAAGTACTTGGATATTGTTTATTTTACGTTTACCATCTTGCTTTCTTTTCAAGACGCATTATTCAAAACTTATGTCATACTGAGTGGTCAGAAATAGTGTTACATAATCGAAAAAGTTCAGGAATTTCCGTATTCATCAGGAATTTTTTCATAATTCTGCAAATCATCTCTCAAATCCAGGAATGATCGGAAATAACGATGTTTTTCAATATTCCGTTTGTTCCGCATTTCTGGGCATTCAAAATATGCTATAATCGTGAATTTTTCATTTAGATAGAACTCGGAACAATTTTTATTTTCTAAATAAGTCAATTCCAGGGGTCGCAAGGGGCCACTTTCGAATTATTATTCAGTACTTTACATAGATTATTGAAGGAACTGTGATTTCCTAACATCCCTGATTCCTGAGTTGGTATGAAATCAAGAAACCACTATTATTGTGCACGTTTCCTTCTGTGGAAGTTAACGAAGTTATCTCTTCAACTGAATGCAAAATTCAACGTATTGTATATAAAAAATCTTCTTATAATCTATAAGGCACAGATCCGACCTGTCCTGGAATACTGTTCCCATATTTGGAGTGCACCACCCAAACATACCCTGAAAGTGTTGGATTCTGCCCAAAAAAGGGCAATTCGTCTCGTGGGTGATGCTTCGCTCACGAACTCATTCACTTCTATGGAACACCGTAGAAAAGTTGGCGATCTGGCTCTATTTTATAAATATTTTCACGGACGATGCTCTTCTGAAATATCAACAATTGTTCCTCCCTTGGCAGTCCCCGCGAGATTAAGCCGTCGAGCTGAGGCTTGGCACCCCTTCGTCACTTTGGAGACTTGCAGGATATCTCTTTTCAAATACTCGTTCAGCCAACGAACAGCGAGGCTCTGGAATACATCGCCAAGGGAGGTGTTCCCCGAGGCATATAACCTCCAGAAATTCAAGACGAACACCAATTCCCACCTTATTTCCCTTGGTTCTCACGATGTTCTCTGAACATTACAGGATATCCCTATTCGTGGGAACCACAACATAAAAAAAAAATCGTTTTGTACTCAAAGATAACAAGTCTTCTTTTTCTTCTTCACTGAAAAGACGATTCTTAGCAAACAAGCAGGTAAATTTCAATCATTCCAAATCATTCCGATTTCTCCGAAAATAAATAGATATGTATCGATAAAATTCGAAGGTCTATTCGATCGTTCGGTATTTTTATCAGTGCCTGAGAAACAACGCCCTTGGTACTAACTTCTTCGGAAGCTTTAAGGGGGTCAGACGATTCATTCGAAAACAAATTCGCACATAATTTCTCCGCGACAATGGAAATGGTTTTACCCACAGAATTTAATATGCAGGGCTTGTAATAATACAATAATAATTGTATGTAAATGGACATCATTTCATTTCGTTGAAAATATATACGACACAAAGAATAGTTAACCTACATGAAGACCATGAAGTAAAATAAAAATGAATAAGCATACTTATTCTTATAACTTCCATATTAATTCGAAAGAAGTGAAAGTATAATATTATGATTATTGGATCATCCTATGTATTTGCGAAGTTATTCAAAGAACTAAATTGGACTTGTTTTCCAGATAATATGGGTAATCACATATTCCTACTATAATAGATGGTGATATTGAAGACAGGAAAAACCATTATTGGGAAATTGCTATTCACGGGCGCGCTAGCATTGATGTAAATGATTTTTCAAGAATTGATAATTTTCTCAGTAAAATATTATTATATTCATGGTTGCTTCAGTCCATGTTTCATACAGAAATTTGGGAAACAAAGAAGTGATATATGATCCTACATTCGATTTCAAGCAATCCATCAGGAAACATAAGTTCCTTTTTTTAAACTTTCAAAATGAAGAACACGATCAGAAGAAAGGAAAAATACTAATTGGATATTTACAATGGTCCACATTTTAATTATTCCAAACGTTAGGAAATATTTTTTTTATGTTCTGGTTCTCACGAAAAGGGATATCCTGTAATGTTCAGAGAACATCGTGAGAACCAAGGGAAATAAGGTAGGAATTGGTGTTCATCTTAAATTTCTGGAGGTTATATGCCTCGGGGAACACCTCCTTTGGCAATGTGTTCCAGAGCCTTGCTGTTCGTTGGATGAACGAGTCTTTGGAAAGAGATATTCTGCAGGTCTCCAAAGTGACCACGAAGGGGTGCGAAGCCTCAACTCGAATGGTTAATCTTGCGGGGACTGCCTAGGGAGGAAAAATTATTGTTGATATTCCAGAAGATCATCGTCCATGAAAATATCTATAAAATAGAGTCAGATCGCCATCTTTTCTACGGTGTGAGAAGAAGTGAGTGAGTTTGTGATCGAGGCATCACTCACGAGACGAATTGCTCTTTTTTGGACAGAATCAAACAGTTTCAGGGTATATATGTTCGGGTGCTGCACTCCAAAAATGGGAAGTATTCCAGGACAGGTCGAATCTGTGCCTTATAGATCATCAGCAGCTGACAGGGAGTGAAATAGCTCCTGGCCCGAAACAGAAAACCGAGTTTATGGGATGCGAAGCCTCAACTCGACGGGTTAATCTCGCGGGGACTGCCAAGGGAGGAACAATTGTTGATATTTTAGAAGAGCATCGTTCATGAGAATATCTATAAAATAGAGCCTGATCGCCAACTTTTCTACGGTGTTCTAAGTCCATATTGCTCAAAGTGGTGTGAAATATTTCAAAGGAAGGACGGAATGCTCGAAGTCATGTCCACAAATTTTAATGATGGGGGACATGTTTCGGTCTTATGAAATACCATCTTCAGCCTAATTGAAAGTTCTACAATACAGAAATAAAATGAACGTTGTAGTGAAAGAATAACCTAGTTCGTGCTTGACTTAGTTGGAGATGAAAATAATTTTGATGCCACTGTTTCTTGAATTGTTGTTGATGCCCATAGCGAAAAATTCAAAAATTTAATGAAAAATTTCAATATTTGAATTCTTAGCTATGGGCATCGACAACAATTCAAGAAACCGTAGCATCAAACATTTTTTTCAACTCCAAGTAAGTCAAGCACAAACTAGGGAATTCTTTCACTCCAACTTTTATTTTGTTTTTGTATT